GGGGATCTTGTTTAATTCTTCTGCAGATAGTTTTCCAATTTTGCCAACACCATTTGTTAAAAAGGCTGTCATTTCCCCACCTAACTGATTTCATCTCTTTGTCAAAAATCAGTTGACCGTAAATAGATGGGCTGTTTTCCGGGTTCTCAATTCTATTCCATTGATCTATGTGTCTGTCATTGTACCAGTACCATGCTTGGACCTATCTTCTTAAGGGTCTACCTCCTTCTCTGGCCCTGCACCTTTTTCAGTGTTCTGTCTTTTTCCAAGGACTAGCTTCTTATGAAAAATTATCCAGGCTCTGTGAGAAGATGTTGCACCATGCATATCACCGAGATTAATTTCTTTGTACTTTGGGCATTTAATCAGCATTTCCATTGCTACAAATCCTCACTAGAATCTTATGTTCTCGGTGTTATGCGTTGTAGTCACCGTAATAGTTGTGTTCTGGTATATCTTTGTCATTTGCATTTGTAATTACAGAATAACTTTGTTTTATTAGCTCAACGGAAGGTAGGAGCATGGTGGCCTAGTGGTGAGAACCTCACAGCAATCCTGAAGGCACAGTCTCTAAGCCCCCAGCTGCTCCATGGGAGGATGGGCAATGACCTCCCATGAGATTTACTGCCTCTGAAAACCCATGGCAAGTGAGCTGTAAGTCAGCTCTGACTACAAGGCCATGGATTGTTTTAATAACTTCTCATGGACCTCGGGTGGCAAAGTCTGGAGTATGTTGAGCTACTCTTCAAAAGGCTGCCTATCTCTAGGGGTTCAAATCCACCAGACTCCTCAGGAGATAGACAGTCTCCTCTCTTTAAGATTTACAACCTCTGGAACATAATGAAAGTTTGAACTAAGTACGATATATGGTGGTTTGAGTATTTTATAGCCTTGTCTATACAAAGATGTTAATCTGGTACCACCAATTATTAGCAACACAAAGAATGAGAATTCCAGAACATTCAACTGTTTCCATAGACCAAGAAGCAATTGTTTGAACAGAACAAGAGGATTAAAATCAGGAAAGATGAGTGCCACAGTTTTACCCTTTCATCATATTTATTTAATACATAGGCTGAGATAACTCATTCATTTTCTTTGATACAATCAACACAACTTTGCTTGTTGACAACAAACACTTGAAGTAACTAATGATGACATGTAAAGAGTTCAGCCACACTCTAAAGAAAACAAAAATGCTTACAACTGGAGCAATAAGTAAAATCACTGTGTGAATATTTCTGGTTGAATGCCTTACTCTACTTTGCTGTCCTGCCACCTCTTGAGCCTGATGGCCCTTCTCCAAACCTCTCTTAGCAACATGCTCAAACTATGTGAGATAAAGCTTCATCATCTATCTTTGCCTCCAAGGAGCACTCTAGCTGCCCTTTCCCTGTGACATATCCATTTGTTCTTTGGCAGTCCATGGGATATTCAGTACTCTTCTTCAACACCGCAATTCAAAGAAATCAATGCTGCTTCTGTCACCTTTAGTCATTGTCCAGCTCTCAAATGCATAGCAAGTGACTGAAAAGATCATGTCCTGAATCAGGCTAACCTTACCACATCCTTGTCCTTAAATAGTTTGGAGAAGTTCCTCACTACAACCTTTTTCTTTTTAGTACTTTTTTTTTAAGCTTTACAAAATTCAAATACAAATTTCAACAAATTCTTTCCATTTCCCTCATCCTCTCACCCATCAAATTATACAGCCATATTATTAATCCCCCCTTCCTGCTCCACATCCACATCCCTCTGTTTCCAGCCTCTCCCAACTCTCCTGGATCATTATAATCTTTGTAAAATAACGGTTTTAACAATACTTATCCTTATGGGACTGAGTTAGTTCACTCAGGATAATATTCTTCAGTCCTTCCCAAGTTAGGAAATAATTTAAAAAGTTATTGCTCCTGTGTGCTGCATAATATTCCATTATGTGAATGTACCATAATTTCTCAATCCATTCACTTGTGGTTGAACATTGGGGCTGTTTCCATGTTGTTGCGATGGTGAATAATGCTGCTATGGACATTGGTGTACAAATTTCTGGTTTTGCCTCAGTTCTCATATTCTCATGGTATATTCTCCATATTGGAATAGGTGGGTCATATGGAATTTCTATGTTCAGTTCTTTGAAGAAGCACCAAACTGCCTTCCAGAATGGTTGCACCATTTTACAATCCCACCAACAATGGATAAGAATTTCTTTCTCACCACATCCTCTCCAACATCTATTACTTGCTGCCCTGTTAAACTTTGCCACTCTGACTGGAGTCTGGTGGTATCTCATTGTGGTTTTGATTTGCTCCTGTCTTATTGCCAGTGATTTGGAGCATTTCTTAATGTGTCTGTTTGTCATTCGAATATCTTCCTCTGTGTAATTGTTTCCATTATCTTTTGCCCATTTTGTAATTGGATTATCAGTCTTTTTCTTGTGGAGGCCCAGGAATATTCTGTAAACTTTTGTCATAAGATTCTTGTCTGAGGTGGCATTACCAAATGTTTGTCCCAGTCTGTAGGTTTTCTTTTCACCATGTTGGAAAAAGGTTTTGAAGTGCATAGAGATTTAATCTTTAGAGGATCCCATGCATCAATTTTATCCTCTTTAGATTGTGCATTTCTGGTTGTATTTGGCAGTCTCATCATACCTTGGACTAGCGTTTCTAAACTTGATCCCAGTTTGTCTCTTAAGAACGTTATGGTTTTGGCCTTTACGTGTCTCTGATCCACCTTGATTGATTTTTGTGTATGGTGTGAGATGGACATCCTGTTTTAGCTTTCTGCAGGTGGAAGTGGAGTTTTGAAAGCACCATTTTTTGAAGAGGTTATCATTTCCCCTTTTGACAGCTTTGATTTCCTTGTCGAATATCAGTTGAATAATACTTCTCCTGATATCCTCACTGCTGATACGAAGTGGACTGATTGTGTTCTTACCACTAAGCCATGACAACTCCCCTCACTTACAGTAATTTGATTGTTTTCTAGGGTCTTCTGGAACCTTCATAACAACTTTGAGAGAATGCCTAGAATTTTTAACATTCTTTCACTGACACTGTGAATTTTTCTCATTTCACAGTCCACATGTTTAGTCCTAGTGTAGAAGAAAATCTTGAAGAATTTTACATATGGAAGAGAAAACTGTTGAATTTTTATAGGCAGAAGAGAAATCTATTGCATTTTATATGTTGGTCTGGGTCCCCACAACTTTTGCAATTTAACTTCTAGTTTTTACAGCTTTCACCTCACTCACTTGAAGTGTCTTAGATACACTATTGCAAGATCTAAAAAGAAGAATTTTCCTTCTCTGTTTCCAATACTTATACCTGTATTTTTTTTTCTTTCTTCTGTAACCAATTGGCAGCATCAGGATGGATGGTGAAGAGACTGAGATTGTTCACAGCTTTAGTTTGCTTGGCTCCACAGTCAACACTCTTGGCACCTGTAGCCAGGAAATTAAAAGATGTATTGTGATGGGAAAGTCTGCTGTAAGGAACTTCTCCAAAGTACTGAGGAGCAATGGTGTCTCTCTGGAGACTAAGGTGCATCTGATATAGGCCATGGTCTTTGTGATTACTTCTTATGCATCAGAGAGTTGGACAATGACTAAGGAGGATAGAAGGAGAATTGATGCCTTTGAGCTGTGGTGCTGGAGAAGAGTATTGAGGTTACAATGGACTGCTAGGAAAACACACAGATTCATCTTGGAGAGGGTTAAACCAGGCTGCTCTTTGGAGGCAAGGATTCTGGGTCTTCGTCTGACATACTTTGGACATGTTGCAAGCAGGGAGAGGTCCTTGGAGAGGGACACCATGCTTGGGAGGGTGGAGGGACAGCGCAGGAGGGGAAGACCCTCTATGAGGTGGATTGATTCAGTGACTGGGGAAATTGGGATGGGTGTATCAGAGACAGTGCGATTGGCACAGGACAGAGCAGAGTTTAGGGCTATTGTACCTAGGGTAGCTATGAGTCGCAAGCAACCCAACGGCACATAACAACAAGTGTAACTTCCTTGTTTTCACCAACAAGAATATCCAGGATATGTTAAACAATAGATATGAGAGTGGATACTCCTACCTCGTTTCTGACTTGTAAATGTACAGATTATGGTAAGTTTCTAAAAGATCATCTGAGTTACACTAAGGAATTTTCTTTACATTTTTTAGTGATGAAGAACTGAATGTTTGCTTTCTTTAAATATACGTTTCATTCATATTAGTTTCATGTTATTTTTGTTTCACACATTCTGTGTGTATATCATAAGTACTGTTATCTGTGATCATTCTTAGTAGATTGAGAGTCCTTCTTTTCCTACTCTAGTCTGCCTTAGTCTAAAAGCTTCACCAAAATGGTTTGGAATCATAGCAAATAACAGTCCTCTGGTGATAGACAGTTGTTGGGTGGCTCACAAAATGCCCTACCTGGATATGGAACCTAGATCTTCCACACGGAAGGTCTACAGTGAAACCATCACTGTGAGTATTGCTGCTGCTGCTGCTGCTGCTGCTGCTGCTGCTGCTGCTGCTGCTGCTGTTGCTGCTGCTGCTACTGTTACCATTTTCGGTAACTATAGAGTCGGCTCCAATTCATGGCAATTCTACCAGATTCACCTTTCTAAACTGCAGCAAAGTACTGTCAAGTCTGGCATCATCTCTATAATTTTTTCATGGTATAGCTCACTAACTACACTGGGAGTTCAAATCTCGTTGACCAAGGCAAGCATTCTTGTAATCGTGAACCCATTATAAGTCATTTCAGTGTGTATATTGTAATATCCCTGCTCGTCTTGTGCTATTGTAGAACGTCTAGAATTCAGAGAGTGGCTCGTGGATGACTTAATTTTCCAGGATGACTGTATAACTGGAGAAACAACTTCTGAAGTGAAGACACTGTGACAGGTGTGGTGGGATGTCAGTGTGCATGTTTACAGGGAATTGTGATCAATTTGGTTTGAGTCTGTTGGATTTCATTTGTCGGTATATATTTCATTATTATTATTATTATTTTATACTGGCTTACCATAAGATATTCTTGAAGAAATGCGTCAACTTGGAGCCTAGGTGAAACGGTAGATCTGGAAGTAGAAACCCAGGCCTCCTTGGATACTTCCCTGGTGTCAGATGCAGGGAGAAACAAAAAGCATGAGAAAGGGTGACCAGGCATTTTGGTATTTTTTGAGCCAACACAAAATAAGAGAAGGGAACACCAAGGGACAAAATATCTGAGTGTAGAATCTTAAACACAAAAGGTGGGAGGGAATCTCTGAGATGTGTGGCCAATCACAGTGTCACTTGGCCATGATGTGGCCTTTGGTGACTTTGATTTGAAAAGTTACATGGAAAGGTGGAAGGAAGAGTCGGGGTCAGGACTCACTGTGTTCTGGTCTGAAGCACCGCCTGGCATAGATGAATGGCTGGGTAGATGAATGGGTGTATACATGAAAGGATGGATGGCTGGAAACACCAAAGGATCTATAGATGGACTGGCAGGTGGATGAATGATGGATGGATAGTAAGACAGACGGATGTATGAGTAGATGCATAGGAAGATAAATGAAGAGGTGGATAGATGAGTAGATAAATGTGCCCAATTAATGGAAGGAAGTAAAGAAAGATAGTGATCTAAGAGATCAGAGAAAGCTTCATGAAGGAGATGGAACAGACTTGAATCTTGATGGATGGGCACAATAGGAGAGGGGTGTCCACATAAGACCCCATTAAGTCAGGAACAACTTGGTGCCCTAGTAGCCAGGAAAGAAGTTGACATGGTTGTACTATGGAAACTTGTTGAAAGACAACTCCATAAAACCACATGGCATAAACAACAAAAAGCACCATTGCCTCAGAGAGCTAATCAAGGACCTGGCTAACCGTGGAGAACCTAATTCACTCTAAATATGTGATGGTAGGGATGGTGTTATGAGATATACTGACACAATGACTGCAGCAATGGTATCAAGTATCTCAGAGATGATGGGAATGGCACAGGTGAGGACAGGCCTCAGATCTGGTATTAATAAAGATACTATGAGTCGGACTCAACTCAAAGACAAACAACAAATATGAACTTACAGATGAAACTCCATTGGGTTTTCAGAGGTAATAAATCACACAGGAAAGAGACTGCCCATCTTCCTCCCATAGAGCCGTAGGTGGATTCAAACCTTGTCCCTTAAGGTTTATAGGGCCACTTCTTTTTTTTTAAATTTTTTTATTATTATTTTATTATTTTGTGTGTATGTTAGTGTACTGTCAAATCAGATCTGACTAGTACAGGAGGAGATTGTCCCTCCTTTTCCCGGCAGAGCATCTGATGGATTTGAACCGTGTGCCTCTGGTATTGCAGTGCAGCTTCTTGCCACTAGGCCACCAGAGCTCCCCTTAGGGCCACTTCTTACCAGCTTACCAAAAGAGCTCTCTATGTAATGGAGACAAAAGAGCAATGCTGACGGCATCAGAGAGGAGGCAGGGCAAGATTTGCCCCATCTCTGTGGCTGGCCAGCAGCTGCCTGCACCCCAGTGCTCCTCTCTATGGCCCAGCAGATTCAAGCTCTGTCCCATAGTCCCAAAGGCAAGTGCCAGGTGCAGGCCCCATAGATTTTTGTCTGAGCCTCAGTCACCGTGGTATATCTTCGGCAGCAGGACCAAGGTCACTGTCATCGGTAAGTGGTTTTCCCAGCCTTTCCCAAATTCTCCCAGCCTCTTCTGTCTCCAGAGACTCTCTTCTATCTAGTGGGATCTGCTCATCCACTGCCCTTGTTAACTTTAGTATACTCATGTTAATTTGGAAGAGGGATTTCTTCCAGCGTTTCCAGTAACACGGACACCTACAGAGGGCCATCTCTTTTAGAGTCTGACAGCTGGGTGCTGACCCACTAGGCATGGGGGTCTGGGCCGGAACTCAGCCACAGAGCAGGGCTTCTAGTCCCACTTTCAGAACAGACCTCAGGCAAGGGTGATGGTTGTTCTGATCCAGGAGTGGAGGTTTTAGAGTCAGGGAGGCTCTAGGTGTGGATCTCACTGGGGCCTGGTAGATGTGCAAAATCCAGGGATCCAGAAGAGACTGCATCCAGCTCAGGGCTCAGGGGGACACACCCTGAGGAGACATATCAAGAGTGTAAAGAGACTTCACC